TTAAAACAAGAGTTTATATGGTTTTGTAATACGGTAAATGTTTCAAAAATTGTTTGCAATACTGCAAATATTGTTTCATTGATTGTGATATAACAGTTTCCATATTCTCAAATAAATTAACTTGCCAAGTCATTCTCTGACTCTCAAAACAACAGGCACTTGATTTACACGGCACTGGGTTACAGAATATGTATTAGCTTGGGCTTCAGGAGCTGCTAGTCATAGTTACTGTGCTCCAGCTGTTTTCAACAGACTGGGAGGCTAAGGTGCATTCCATGTTGAAGAGGAACAATTTTCCAGGGAATGAAGATGTAAACAGATCCTTTTATTTCCTTGCCTGACAGAATTTGAATATCCTGTTCTATTCCATTGTCCCCGGTCAAAGCATAGGGTGGGAGCTGTTTAAATTTTTCTGTATATACTTTTTCGCTCTTTCATTAGTCCATATGATTATGAATCTCTTCTGAAAGATGGCATCCTCTTGAAATAGAATACAGTGAAGCATAGTACTTAGAACTTATAGTTTGCTGGTGCTTCTGAAGTATGGAGCTGGTCAGAATGATAGGTTGTTTCAAAGGAAGAGTAAGATGTCATTTACATATGCAGTAAATTGGCCTGTTTTATAAAAAGCCAATCTTCATCAAACACACTGAAGCTAGCTGGTTTTGCATGCAGTGATACCCTCCATTTGATGAGAGCTTTCAGACTTCATTTTGCCTTTCTTAACTACAGCATTTTAAATGTCTCTCAAAAATCTCACCCAAATGTCTCTAGAAAGTGACTTCCTTTCTGAATCCAGAGTGAAAATGTGAAAAATATGGACTCAGTGTTTCCTGTGAAGCCCCATCTGGAGCAGCACAACAGCTCTGTGTTGGCTCAGGATAAATGAGTGTTTTCCTGACTTGCCCTTGAAAAGGAATCTTTACTTGAATAATCCCTTCATTTCTTGGGTTGCATTTAATTAGACTTTCGTTTGATTTTCATGTTTTATTTCTTGTTTTCATACCTCCAAATTAAAAGCTACTGAGTGGCAGTAGGTTTGTGCTTCTTACTGTTATTTGAAAAAAAATAAAAAATAAAAAATCAAACAAACACAAAAAACAACCACCAAGCAAGTAAAATATTTTTAGGAGACAGCAAGATTTTATACTCCTTTGCCCACCACAAGGGGAAGCCTTGTGGTGGCCTGCAGCTCCCTATGAGCAGAGAGGCAGGGCAGAGGGGCAGTGCTGAGCTCTGCTCTCTGGTGACAGCGACTTGACCTGAGAGAACTGCATGGATCTATAGGTTGGGTGTTAGGATAAGTTCTTCACCAGAGGGTGATGGGCATGGAGCAGACTTCCCAGGGCAGTAGTCACTGCCCCAAGCTGCTGGAGTTCAAGAAATGTCTGGACAATGCCCTTAAACATATGGTCTGATTTCTGGGTGGTCCTGTATGGAGTCAGGAATTGTACTTGATGATTCTTATGAGTTCCTCCCAACTCAGGATGTTCAATGATTCTGTGGTAAATAATTTTGTTATTCACATTGTCACAGTATACTTTTACCAGTGATATGTACCACAACTGAAATATCTGTGAATGTTTTAATTAGTACAAATCAAATATAGCGTTTGAGTATGTTTCACAGCATAATGGTTAATCTGACCTTTGCTGATGTTAAGGGAAATTGGTTCTTTAGGTTGTGCATGGGGAATCAACCTTATTTAACATTTTTATTAGTGATGAGAGCACAAGGCAGTAGTTAGGTGAAATTTTCAGATAATGTAGGATTGTGAGATAGCATCTGTACAGAGAAAGACTAATGTAGGAAGACTCAGATGACCAACATTTAATAGAAGAGGACACAGGGACACATGTACACCATTGTTGAAAATAATTTTTCAACTGGAGAAACCGAAAAGGAGAGTCCCCTGAGAGTTTTCAAGGAGAATGAGTTATTGTTGTGGTACAGTGTTGAATAAAGCCAGTGCAAGACAAGGGTTTGTGAGGGAAGGTGGTGACAGTGTCCTGGTGAACTCACATTGGGAATCGTTACATGTTCTGCTCTGCTTCAGCAGATTTGTGTATACACATCATAATACTGAGGGGGAAACTGGTTTTCTCTGTAAATGTTGGGTTTCTGAAGTATTGGAAGTTACGTGTACCAATGGCAACAAAGAAAATATCCAGTAGATTTTGAAAGTCACACACTTGGACAATTTGAAATTTTACAGGTAAATTTATTCTTGAATAAATACTGTAAGGGACATGAGTAGTGGATGAAGCAACAGCAGGTCTTATTTGACAGCCCCACTTGTGGGGGAGAGGAGGCATTTTGTGTACGTTGTGATGGAAAAAACTACCCACAGGAGCAACAGAGGGGACTGTAACGTGCCAGAGAGTCTGGCTGTTCTCTGTCATACCAGTATCTATAGTTGATGCACAAAAGGGAAGGATGCTGAAGTGTAATGGGTGCTGAAAGCTGATGACGTATCTTGTGCAAGCTCCAGGGCAGGTCTGCTTCACAACTTCTCTCCCTGTCTGTGGGCTGCAATTATGGCAGGTAACCCTCTTGGTCTATTGCAAACACTCCTGTCCTGGTTGTGTTTTATAATTTAAACTTGGCAGTCTTAAAAGACTACTCTACTGTTAACCTGTTAAATGGTCACTGATAACCCTCATGTGAAAGTACCCAATTGCACACCTATGTGTATGTCTGCACTTCCCAAAGAGTGACTCAGGTTGCCCTTTTGAACAGTACAATAATTGTTTCTTTCAGGATGTAAGTTTCCTTTAGTACTTATGTAGTAATTCCAGACTTCTGCTTCTTCGAATTGCGCTCATGAATAAAAATTAAAAAAATATATTGACACAGTTCTGTGCAGAAAGGAAAATCATGAAACTTAGGAGGGATTCTTTAATGTATCAACCATGAGCTGGCAAATATGTCAGCTGTGAACTGGCTGCTGTTCATGGCTGTGTATGTTACAGTTTCAGACAAATTCAAGCTAGTAATACTACCAGTGACTGATTTGTTCTGCAATGAACTGAATTTGGGGCCAGCATTCTGATCATGATGGGAGTGTTGGAAATTCCCGTGACATATATAGGTAGCTCTGAAAGTAACGCCTCCTATTTATTTTCATGGAAACAGCAAGAAATACAAGGAGCACAACAGCACCATTTGATAAAGCAAATTCTCAGCTACACAACCCTGTTTTTCAACATACCACCATTAGCTGATGTAAGTGGATAAGCTGATTGAGATTTCGTGGTGCTGTTGCCTTTGCTGAAATGCACTATCCCCCGCCTTACTGTACTCACATCCACTGTTTGGTTTTCATGAGTATTCAGCTAGGGTCAATGAAATTCAATGGGTAAAAATGTTTCTACATGGAGGAATTCAATTCCATACCTTTGCTGTACCTATGCACTTCCATGTCAGACACTGTTTTGTCAGAGTACCCCTTTCCTACCATCTGTCACATGGCAACAGTATGTAATGGAATATTGTTGGAAAGGTTCACCCTCTACTGCCATACCACCTACATCTGCCTCTGACATTATGAGCCAACATAATAAAATAGAAAGCATTTCTTCCAGAGCAGTCCTTGTGTATGTGTGTGCATATTTTTATTCCTTTTTTTTCCTAGATATTTTTTCAGCTCCTATTTCTGTTTCCTTGAACAAAACAACTGCGTGCAAGTGATGCAGCCAGCAGGCATGGTTGTCACTCTCCTCACTGTTCAAGGCACTGGTACCTCAAATAATGCCCCATTTATAATCTGCTTGAGCACTTAGCTGAGAGAACAGCTATTGGATGAAAGGGAGATTGCTGCCTACTTTCTGTCTTTCTCTTCCTTGTGCTGTGAGTTTTGGCTGGATTCTTTGGTATGGAGGGAAAGAAAAGGGGAAGTAATGGAGACAAAGCTAAAGCAGCATGTGATGATGCAAGGTGATGCTTGAGAAGCATAACTCAGAGATGGGCAAAATGTATTTTTGGTGGTTATTTAGTTCTATCTGTATTTATGCCCGTGTTGCTTCTGTAGAATATGTGTATCCTACCAGTGATTAAATCCATGTCTCTTGACAAGCAGCGTGCCTCTTTGCAAAACATATTCATGTATTATATCTAGAAAGTGCAGGGCTGATGTTTCAAAAGTCTGCTTTTCAGGTACGTTTCCAGAAGGAGATGGGATTATGGTTATTCTTACATGCAGAGAAGAGCAGAGAAGAAGAACTCTCAGAAATCAGTAAAACATTAAACCCTGCTGGATTTGCCATCTCTAAATTCTTATCTGTCCTTCAGTTTCTTACACAGCCTAAGTACTACTTGACTTAAGTGTATTGTTCACAATGTCATCCAGACTTGCCTGAAGACAGAGATTTCACCACTTTTCTTAGTTAATAACTGGAAGGGTGTAGTAGATGGAAGACTGGTTTATTCACTGGTTCATTTGCAGCTTGATAATTTATTGCCAGTGGTTAATGTGAAAATGCATTGGCTTTATTTCTGAATGAACAGGAAAAGGGGAAACTTGATTTGGTAAATAACATCATTTTCTCTGCTCTGGAAGATGTCTAGAGTTCCTAATGTATGGTAGTTACATTTCTAGAGAAGAAAATGCAAAAACCATATTGGCTGGTAGGTCAGTTCTAGACTATTTTTATATCATCAAAGAAATATGCAAACAAAGAGTATTTTCTTTGAGGGTGAACCTGGAAAAAACCCTAGCCAAGAATGTTTAGCTTCATGGTACTAAGTTTACATAGGGATATCATTGAGTGTGAAGTGTCAGGTATGTTTACCTGTATTACAGTGACAGGTAAAAGGAATTCCTGTTTATAACTTTATATGCTATTAAATCTGTTCCCATGAACATGTGATATTTTTATTCTTCAAGATCAAGCTACTATTGATATTTGTATTTTTCTTTTAATATTTGATTATAAAGTTTCCATTGCTTCTGTTCATGTGTTTATTCTAAGAATGACTAGTATTTTTTTGTAACTTTGCAGAGTACAGACGCCAATTCAAATGTGAGGAAAAGAACGAATGCCACAGTACAGTCAGAAGCTGATGGTGGGAGTCGAATTGACACAAGGCACAGTTCCATCCAGCCTCCCTCTGTAGCTCAGGGGTCTTCTGACATTACACCCCACTCCCTTTCTGCATCAAGTCCCAACCCTTTCACACGTATTAATGCATCAGAGACATTATCTTCTGCAAGAGCTACCCCTCCAGCTCCTCCTTCTACCCCAATTTTAACTGGATTTGTATCCCAGCATGCCACAGTTGGATCCCCTTCCATTCAGCACTTGCTTGGATCTAGACTGGAGCAGATTCAGACCACCACACCTCATACATTAGGAGCATCTGCAAAACCATCTGCTGTCACACCACCTGTTCCCCCTGCCTCTCATTCTGGCACTAGTAAGATAGACAAATACGCACGAATTTTATTTCCCGTTACCTTTGGAGCATTTAACATGGTCTACTGGGTGGTGTATCTATCCAAGGATACCATGGAAAAATCAGAAAGTCTAATGTAGTTTTGCTGCTATGTAGTAGTTCAAAAATTATACTCACATTTGATGCAGAGTTTCTTCTTTTGAAACTATTTAAAAAGTCAATAATTCTTATTTATAAAAGCTGTGTGCTGCTTTCCCATTGTAAAGGCTGGAAATCTTGGGGATAACGAGGTAATTCTTAATAATAGGTAACAGAATTCTCTTCCTCCCTTCAGCTAGGAGTGAATCATCACTCTTCAAACAGACTACTTGCCTTTGGGAGAAATATGCACAGGAAAAAATCAAAGATGGAGGTGCACAACTGTGAGTGGAATTCATCTCCACTGCTAGGAATTATGCGTGTTGATTGTCATGGATCCCTGAGGCACCTAGTACTGTCATTTGAACACAGCATTGCATTTCTTGACTGCAAGGCCCATGTCCTGAGTATTTTGACAGTACCTGCTAGAAATGGACTTTTTGTGCTAGGCTAAAATTGGCAGAATGGGAGGAAAATGAGCAATGGAAAAAGAAAATAGAGTCCAGCCTGGGAAAGTGCAACTCCAGAAGAGTTATGCAAAGGAGTTGTAGAGCTCCATATATTTTTACGAAGCATTATTTTGCATTGCAACCTTGGAAATTCTTACTTCAAAATAAGAATGAATTAACCTTATAAATCTGAAATCTGAAGTAATTCTCAAAATTGGAATTTTTTGTTTGGTAAGGTGATCTTAAATGTGATTCTTCTTAGACAGTGCTGACCAGCTTGAGTGGATATATTTCTAAATTGCATCACATGGTAGAATGGAACCAGGTCCGCAGTGTTCAAATTTTTGAATTCTTTGTTCTTTCTTTTGGATGCTTTTGGATTTGTTAATTGTTGTTTTGTTTTGTTTGTTTTCCATATTTTTCAGTCACGCACCTCTGATTTCCTTTGAACACGTATTTCTCTCTCTCTTTTATTATATAGTTTAAGTCAAGTTAAATTTACAACAAATTTTGAAGTGGCTTCAGAATCAAGGAAAACATATTTTCCTGTGCTTTGATGTGTGTTGCTATGGCACAACTTTGAATGTGAGACACCCTTTTGTGAAGGAACACTGTGACATAAATCCAAAAAGCGTGTTTCTAGATGAAGCAGGGGAAACACGAGTTGTATTTATGATCCATTAGTTTTTCTTACACTGTGGGTGATTTCCTTAGTGGTTCAGTGTACAAACAGACAGCTACGTTTCTTTATTTAAAAAAAGAAGTGAACAGTTTAAGCTTGATAAAAATCTTATCAACAGTGTTCTTTTCACCTATATGAGCGGAGGATATGCTGGCCATCAGTCTGAAGGTTTTTGTGGAGTTCCATCTGGCTAGGCAAATGTTTAGCATTTCTATACAAGTGAATATCAAAGGCCAAGTTCTCAGCTGTGATCTGGCTGTGTTTTTAAAGGATTAAAGAGAAGCCAATTCTCCTTTGCCTGGACTAATCGTTAACTACAGTTAATTGACATGGCAGATTAGTAGCCCAATGTCAAAGTTTTATGCTGGAGCCATTGAGGTGGGTGTTCTGGAGTTTTCTGTGCAAGTAATTTGATAAAGTGACTGAGAGTCTGATGGAAGCCACATGTAGCTGAGATAATCAAGACAGCCCTACACAAAACTGGGATGAGAATGACTGTACAGTGACCATACATCTCTATCAATCCAAGCATGGTAGCTATTTTGCAGCTGAGAATCTGACCTGCTAGCTTATAGGATCTTGGAGACTGTAAGAGGTGTGTAATACAGCATGTACCATGGATTCTAGGCTATCGTTTTGTATAGAACATTGGAATGTACATGGTAGGATTCATAGGATTTGGAATGTCTTACGTGTCTTTATCATGATATAGTAGTATAAAAAGTTACCTTACTCTTTTTTTGTTCACTTAAGTGATGTTCTCAAGAAGGTAGGCAAAGTTTTTTCCCTTTGTATGTAAAAGAAGCCTGAGATTGAAGTGCTCCTTAGAAAACCATTACACATTCCAAAACATGGGACTGGAAATGGAGCACACATGCAGGTTGCCAAGCTGCAGTAGTTTGCATCTTCAGATGTACTGCTGGGAGCTCTGGCTGTGCTTCCCTAATTTAGTCACATTATTGCAAATTGTCAGAATAGCAGATACTCTACAACAGAGTTCATTTGTTTATTTTGTGAAAATGAAGAAAAAAGCCCTAATCCTCTGGCAATTGTTGGTCATAATTGCACAAAGGGTAATTTTTTTCTAGTGTGAAGAACAATGGCTTTATGTGTTGAGAACCTAGTGTTTGCTCCAAAAGTTATTGAAATTACTCTTTGCTTTTCTCTCTGATGAAAAATGGGGATGTTTTCTTTTAGACAGAGCTCTAAATGATTTACTCTAAACAGCTGTCTCTTCCTTTCCACCCATCCCCCTATACTGCTCATATAGTCAGCTTTCTTTTTGGATTGTTCAGTAGAATTAACACTGGTTCAGGCTGTTTAGCCAAGGTTGAAGTAGATGTGCTATTTGGATTTGTTTGTAGGTCCTGTTTCATTTTGAAGACTTAAAAAAAAGGAGAAAATGATTGCAGGAATTATTTGAATTCAAAATACTAATTTCTGTGCTTCCTTGTTACAAGAAATTTTTCATGATATCTCAGAACAAATATGTTTTTAATCCATCAGTCAATTCAGTCAATTCCTGAATTACCTTCTGGTGTTTGCATATTTATATTCAAAATGATATATACATATATATATATATATAAAATGATATATATATATATCATTATGAGCCTAATTTACTGTACTGTGCTACATTATTTTGTTACAGTATAAGAAGAAATTACCATAAGTAGCTTTCCAAAGTACATAAGGGCAATGTAAACATATTTAATCTCCTTGCAGAATGATCAGAAACAGTGAACAGCCTGCAGTATACTCAGAAATACTGGCAGGTTCTGAATACTGTGCAAGTTAGAAGCATGAGAAAAAAAAAAAAAAAGAAGCAGGAATATGCTTAAATATCGAGGGTGAAATGTTCAATACTGGTTAATAAAATCCAAAGGGAGAATGTTGCACATGTTACTTTAGTGCCCACATAGATCTCTAGGGCTGATTTTGAGTGTAATAAACTTTACAGGAATTGTGGGTTTTTGGTGTTTATTTTGATTTTTTTTTTATATTGGTTTTGTTAGGCAGTCTCTCTTGACAGTAACATAACCATTTAGAACTAACCAACCACTTCAGTCATCTTTATTACCAAGAAAAAAAAGAGTATAAAGAGAGAAAAAACCTTACCAAGAAACAAAGATCGATTCCACTAACTGCTGTTTCCTCAGAGACATTGTTACCAATAGCAAAACTCCTACTGATTTCAGTGATGCAGCCCCAACCAGTAATGGAGTCATTTGAGAAAAACAGTTAAAAGCTCAGTTTAAGGAGATTGCCTTCACATGCATTGAAACATATTTTGTAGTCAGTTGTGAGGTCAACATAGCAAGGTCAAATGTATATTAGCTCACTATTAAGAGTTTTCACAGCAGTTACTAGAATAATGAAGAGGCAAACCTCGACCCCGGTACCACATGATGGCCTGAGCTCTTAGAGTTCAGCAGCTGAATTGGAGTCCGGCTTTTCTCCTACAGAGTTGATTTGTTTCAATCAATTGGATATCAGTGGCACATTTCTGAGACACTCTAGGTTTCTTTTCCTGCATGATTTTTAGGAAAAAAACAAACAAACAGGTTTTGTAAACTGTTAAGTTATTCCATCTACATTACTTTACAATCTGTCAAGTTGATCACATGATAATTGAATGAAAGAGGCAAATCATTTATTAAGAAATGTGCCTAAAGCTTTTTGTTTAACAGGAACTAAAATTTATTGATTACAGGGAGTTCAAATGCAACCTTGGGCATCTCATCATTTTCATTACTTAGGATGGACTTTGCAAAAAGCTGGAAAGCCAAGTGTGTATAGGTAATAGGATTGAACCACTGTTTCAGAGAAAAATGAATGTATTCATCTTTTGAATATGTGCAGAATTCTGTTTTCTTCTGTTTACTTGCATATTTCCTGCATGTCATTCTGATGCAGTGAACCTTATGATGTAGTGAAGAGACTGCGTACTGTGTAAGAATGTCAGAATCCACAGTGTATATTTATCTAGATCCAAACTTTACCATCTGCCCTTGTGTTATTGGAGATGCAGGGAACTTCTGTTAAATGGATAACTGTTCTGTGGCTAACACTATTGTAATTACAACATAGCTGAAAAATACTGTTCCTGGATTTGTTTAATCCTGGAGTTAAACTGACCTATTAGGAAAATGCCAAATGCCTGGCTGAGAAGCGTAGGTGAAGTATATTGTTTAATGATGATATGGATAAAACCAAGTATTGGAGAACTGCAGATACATGTGGCAGTAAGCTTACATGACACCACGGGAAGTGAGGAGAGTGGGAGATATTTTTCTAGATGGTCTGATGAGCACGAAGCAAAACAGTGCACAGTGGGTAAATTTAGTAAATCCAGTGGTTAAATGGACTTATGGATACTGTTATTTAAAATAAACAAACAAAACAACAAAGAATTTAGTCTAGGAAAGAAGCAACCAGTTAGGTGATGAAAGCCTCTTTATCTTTCCCAAAGTTTGTTGTTTTTTTTTTTTTAAAAAATTTTTCTAAGAGTTAATATTTCTTTCACAGTGTGATTCGAAAGTAAGACACTTATGTTTAGGAGACAATGTACTGACATCAATGCAGGGCTTTTTATTGACTTAAGTACACTTCAAATAGGAAGTTCTGTTGGTTCTTCTGGAAGGAAAAGTGTGTTGTTTTTGCAGGAGTCTGATACACACTAATTCTTCTAAGTCCTCACTAAGTCTTCATTTGTAGGTGTCTACTCAGAGGCAAGTTGTTGCACTTTTGAAGAATGTGAGTGTGGTGTGCAGTTTTAGCATGTTGTGCATTCATCAGACTTTGAAAGTAAATTTTTGGCACATTCCAAGCAAGTGTGAGTAGCGTGAAGCACAGAGAATTCAGAAAA